TAAAGGCTAAATACCTATAAAGTTCATTATTAATAATAATTGCTAATTATCAACTAATGGCTGTTTTATTATTAATTATTACTACTACTAATAGCATCCTGGGGAGCTTCAGCTTACTCTAGTCCTGCTGGGAGAGGACGTGCCTCAAGGCTGGGAGTGAGTGCTTGGTCAAGAGAGGCTCAGGCCCCTGGGATACCCTGGTCCTTCCCCCTCCCTGCTGGGAAGTCCCCGGGGACGCCCACTCACCTGCTGTATCATAGAGGTTCAGGACCACCTCCTTGCTGCCCAGGGTCACACTGGTGGTGTACTTCTCGAAGACCGAAGGGGCGTAGTGCTGGGGGAGGGGGAAGACGGAGACATCAGGGGAGTGGTCAGGGTAGGGAGAATCAGAGACACCGGCTCCAGAAGGCCGTACTCCCTGCAGGGTGCCTGAGGACCCGGGCATTCCCTCCCCTCCCCTCCCCCGCGAGAGTAGCCAAGTCCTCACATCTCTTCCCGCCCTGGATGACCTGGGGAAGGAGTTCCCCCTAACCCCACTACAGAGTTCCACCGGGAGGGGAACTAGACTGGGGAAGGAGAGGGAGCCGGTCCCATACACCCCATCCCACGCGCCTGACACAGGATGTGTGTCTGCAAGGGGAGCCCCAGGACGACCCCCGAGCCTACTCCTGCTGTGAGCGAGTGCATGGGAGTGGGGGCTAAGAGATGGAGGACCTAGAGAGGAGGCGGAGAGCAGCTGGCCGCCAGCCCAGTTACGCTCCTCGGGATAGCCCTGCCTGGAGCCTGGGTACCCTCCCCGCATCTTTTCTAGCCGCCTCCCGCAGGGGAATTCCGAGCGTCTTGGCCCCTGGCAGCCGGACGTCCAGCTCACAGTTGGCACGGGCAGGGAGCGGAGGCAGGGTCGAAGCTGAGGAAGGGGCTGGCGCGGCACCTCCCCCGCACCCCACCCCCCCGTTTTCCCATCTGCCCTTCTCTCCGGCCCTCACCTCCGGGAAGGCCCCCTGGCTGTAAACCATCAGCAACGAGGTCTTCCCGCAGCCTCCGTCCCCCACGATCACGATCTTCAGCTCCTTTTTGCCGGGGGCCTGGGCCGGCGTTGGGGCCGCGGCCGGGGCTGGGGGTGCGGGGTCTGCCATGGACCGCCGCCGCCTGGGCCCAGGACGCGCGGGCTGAGAACTGAGGCCGCCCGGGCTGCCCCCAAAGCTAGGAGAGAGGCAAGTGTAGACGCCTGTTGGGAGGGGGCAGGGAAGGAGGGAGGCGGAGCCCTAAGCTCCCGCCCCGCCCCTCGGCAAACCGGGCGGCTGGACTCCTGGGTCCTCTACCCATGCGCCTCTTCCCCTCCAACCCAGCACATTCCCCAGCCTCAGTTTCCCTAAGGTCATGAATAGTACAGGGTCGACTCCGCCTTTGGGAAGAAAAAGGGGCGGGGCTCCTCCGAGGGTTTCGAGACCCGTGGCTTCATGGATGGTCCCCAGAAGCTGTCAACGTGGTCGCCTTTCCCAAGGGGAAACTGAGGCTGTAGAAGGCAAAGGAAAGGGCTTGGCTAAGCACAATCTTGTCAACAGCCCAGCGTCACGTCTCCACTCCCACATCTCATGGGTCTCCCTGGTTTGAGCTCATTTTCATTATCTCCCGTGTTTTCTGTGTCCCCTCCCTCCCCTTCAGACTGGTGCTGTCTTAGGTTGGAGGAAGAGGGCTGTCTCCTTTACCTGACTGGGCTCTCCATCACCCTGGCCCCCCTTGAACTGCCTGGGACTCCCCCACCTGACAGAGCCCTCCTCAGCTGGACTGCTTTCTTCATCAGGTCTAGGCTTCACATAGGATGGGTACACCATTATACTGGGGTGTCCCCCATCAGACCATGGCTCCCTAAGCCCAGGGTCTCTGTCTTTCCAGCCTCAAAGGTCAGATGGAGCCACGATCTCAAGTTAGCTCAGAGAGGCAGGTCCTTCATCTCTCCTGTAAGTTTTGCCCCCCTCCCCGCCCCCCCCACGTTCCCCCCCAAACCATCAGATCGAGGTATGTCTGTCCAGCCCCCAGCCCCTCCCAAGAAGTAGTGTTGGTGTAGTGGAAGGAGAGCTGGGTTTGGAGTTGGGGGATTCAAGCTCTGCCTGTCATAAACTGTGTGACCTTGGACAAGTCACTTAAACTCTGTGCCTCGATTTCCTCATCTGTAAAGGAAGAGGTCTGGACTCCATTGCCACGAGAAGTGCTTCCTCTGGAGGTCCCTTTCAGTTCTAAATCTATGATCTCCTAAGTCTCCCATTTTTAGAATGAGGTGCTCCCCTAGGGTCTTCCTGTGCCTTGGGAATCAGGTGGGGAGTGGGGGGGGGGGCAATGCACCTTCTCTGGTTGCCATAGTGCGTGATTCAAGTCCTCATGATCAGAAACTCCATTGTATTTATTCACCAGTTTATTGAAATACAGAGCAAACAGAGCTGGACCCGAAACACCGACCTCCTCCTCTTCCTTTTTTGGTCAGAATTGCTTTTGAGGAAGCCCTGAATCCTTCTCCCCTCCCCTCGAATTTCTCAGCATCACCTCCTCGAAGTCTGGAATATCGTGGGAGGCTGACACCCACCCTGGGACACACATGCTGCTTTGGGAGGCTAGAGCTATATAGAATGTCAGGGCTGGAAGGGCCCTCGGGACACAGAACATCACAGCTGGAAGGGCCTTGTAATAGAGAATGTCACAGCTGGGAGGGACCTTAGAGCACAGAATGTGAGAAAAGAAAGGGGGGGGGGCATTAGAGCACACAATGTCAGGAGTTGGGTGGAACCTTGGGGCACAGAATATGAGCTGGGAGGGGCACCCTCATTTTATAGATGGGGAAAAGTAAGCAGGCTGAGAGAAGGATCTGAGCAAAGATTAGAACCCGTTTCTAACTGTTCATCGTGTTTGGTTAGGTGACATGGTGCATAGGATGCTGGCTGGGCTGGGAATCAGGAAGATCTGAGTTAAAATCCAGCCTAGCTGTGTGACTCTTGGAGTCACGTCACTGCTGTTTGCCTCAGTTTCCTCAACTGTAAAATGCAGATAATACCACTTACTTCCCAGGTAGGGTAAAATGAGATATTTGTAAGGCTCTGAGCACAGTGTCTGGCACACAGCAGGTGCCTGCTAAATGTTTGTTTCTTTTTCTTTTCCCACCAATCTAGGTTGTGTATCATTGCAGGGCCATGTGCAATGGTATGGCTCAAATTCCTGGGGTAGATGGTTCAAATTCAGGTAGCCCTGATCAGCACTGCACTTTAAATGGCCGTAGCCACTGGGCACAACCTCAACATGGCATCTCTCCAAATCTGTTGGCCCATCAGGAAATCGATCAATTTATCAATCAACAAACACTTTTTGAGTGGCTATGCAGTGGTCAGGTAAATAGTGCAGTGGATAGAGTCAGGAGTCAGACACTTATTAGCCATGTGACCCTGGCCAAGTCATTTCACCCTGTTTGCCTCAGTTTCCTCACCTGTGAAATGAGCTGGAGAAGGAAGTGGCAAACCAGTCCAGTATCTTTGCCAAGAAAACCCCAAATGAGGTCAGAAAAAGTCGGACACAACTGAACAACAACAAAGGAATCTAACAGGTGGGAGAAAGTTCATTTCAGGTGTGAGACACAGCCCATACAACAAGTGGCGCTATAGGCAACTGAATGCTGTGTGTGATGAACAGTAAGACCAGTCTAGTCAGGCCAGCGTGCATCAAAAGAGGTAATGAACAACCTGGAAAGTGACATTGGAGCCAAGCAGAGGAGTGTGTAATTGAACCTAGGAGCAATAGGGAGCCATTTAAGGTTATTGAGTAAGAATAACGCAGTCAGACCTGTACGTTAGGAATATCATATCCACACTGTGCGCAGCATGGATTGGACGGGGGAAGACAGCTAATATTTATACCGCTTAAGGTTTGCAGAGTGCGTTCCAAATATTATCTCATTTGATCCTCACAACAATCCTGGGAGGCAGGTGTTTTTATGCCCATTTTTCAGATGAGGAAACTGAGGCAGGCAGAGGTCAAATGAATTTTCTCAAGGTCACACAGCCAGTAAGTTTCTCAGGCTGGATTTGAACTCAGGTCTGCCTTTCAGGTCCAACACTCTGCCTACTGCACCACCTGGAGGCAAGGAGACAAACTGGGAGGCTACTGCAGTTGTCCAGGTGAGAAGAGATGGGGGCCTGGACCAGGGTGGTGGCAAGTCATAGATTTAGCTGGAAAGGATTCAAAAGATCACCTAGGCACTCCACAGATGGATGAAGAGCACTTATTGCCAAACTCTGTGCTGTCTCTGCCTGCCCTCGAGTAGCTTACATTCTAATGCAGGAAAAAGCCCACAAAGGAGACTGGCAGCCAGAATGGAGTTCATCATTGTTCAGTCCTGTCTTCATGAACCCCATTTGGGGTTTTCTTAGCAAACATAGTGGAGTGGTTTGCCATTTCCTTCTCTAGCTCATTTTGCAGATGAGGGAACTGAGGCAAGCAGGGTTAAGTGATTTGCCCAAGTTCACACAGCTAGTAAGCGGCTAAGGCCAGATTTGAACTTGTGAAGATGGGGCTAGATGCACTATGGCGCCACCTAGCGGTCAAGCATGAAGCTATCATCTGGAATCGTGAGTTTGTCAGTGGAACCATCAGAATGACTGTCCCTTGATGCACTATCAGAATTGGTGAGTGAAACCACCTGACTGTTCAGTGACGCACCACACCCTCCCCAGAGACACCGGTACTGTGGATTTGAATAGTTCTCAATGCATGAAGTGGAGGAGGGCAGGGCAGGGCAGGGCAACATAACACCCATAGAACCTAGGTGAAGGTTCTATGATCCCAGTGAGAAAAGAGCCCACCTCCATTGTGGAAACAGAGCCAGAGTGGGGAAATTACTTACCCAAGGTCAAAGGGACTAGTTTGGGTTTTCCCTGCAGATAGAAAAGGCAAACAGTTCAAGCTAGCCTGATAATGCAAAATAAATACAGGCCCATAATGAGAACCTGTGACTGGAAACCAAAGGGGTTGGGTTTCCTCTGAAACAGAGGTTGGACTTCTCGTTCATTTTCCAGTCATGTCCAACTCTTCATGACCCCACTTGGGGTTTTCCTGGTAAAGATACTGAGGTGGCTCGCCATTTCCTTTTCCAGCGCATTTTACAGATGAGGAAACTGAGGCAAACAGGCATTAAGTGACTTGCCAGGGTCACCCAGCTAGGATGGGTAAAGCTGATCGTGTCCATTCTATTCACTGTGCAGATGCACTGTATGTTTTTAGCGGAGCACTCTGCCAGCCCCCCCCCCCGGTCATGTGACCCACCCTATCTTCTCCCCCCAAGTTCCTTGTTGACACCCTTCCCTCCAGTTCTCTGGGGGCTCCTCCCTGATTATATGTTGTGGCCTGTTCATGCCCACCAAGTGCCCCTCCATCGCCTTCAGGGGGGATACCCACTTAAAGTTGATGATCTGGGGAACCCGAGGCTTGGCAAGGGGGCGTTACTTGCTCAAGTTCTCCAAATTTGTTCTGTATTCGATCCCAGGCTCCTGACCCAAGGGGGGAAGGGAGGTCTTCCACTGACAAGGCCCCGGGCAGGCCATTTTTGCAGGGAAGCTGGTCACCTGCGTGCCCCCTCAACCGGCTCCATCCCAAGTGGATTTCCTGGGCCCAGAGCCTTTGTTCTCGAGACAAGGGCTCCTTTCTTCAGCCACATCAAAGTTTCCTCCTTTGATGGCAGGCAGCGCTCTCCATCTGATAGCAGGTTCTGCGGGCCTCCAGCCCAGGGACAGGAAATTTCTCCACCTTGAGTCGTCTTGAGGGTGCAGCCTCTTCTGAGTGCACTGATCTCAAACAATTTCCTTTGCACCATCCCCCACTCTCTCAGGCCCCACAGTCAAGGGTATTGGGGCATGATTAGGTAAAGAGCTGGGAGGGGCCTGAGAACAGGGACTATCCCAGGGCTGGGAGGGGCCTGAGAACAGGGAATGTCCCAGGGCTGGGAGGGTCCTCAGAACAGAGAATGTCAGAGCTGGGAGGGGCCTCAGAACAGGGAATGTCCCAGGGCTGGGAGGATCCTCAGAACAGAGAATGTCAGAGCTGGGAGGGGCCTCAGAACAGAGAAATGTCAGAGCTGGAAGGAGCCTCAGAACAGGGACTATCCCAGGGCTGGGAGGGGCCTTAGAACAGGGACCATCCTAGGGCTGGGAAGG